ATTATTTTTTCACATGTTCATTTCATCATATTTAATTTCCGGCTTTTAAAATTGCGTGAGATAAAGATATCATAAATATGATTGAATTGGAAGGATCACAAATGAACTAGAAATAACTGTGAAGTATTAAAAGTGAGCAATATTAAAGACACCAATCAAATGTAGAATTGATGTTAAACTTGTAGGAGCAAGGTAGAATTGAATACCAGTATTAAATATTCCGTATCTTAATATTGTCACACATACGTTGATTTTATGTCTAATAGTACCACTGTCTCCTTAATATTGGGACGAAAGAGAATGAGGTGGTTTTTAAGAAAAATAAAATTAAATGGTTGATAATAAGTTGATAAAGTGATAATAAAGTAAGAATGAATTAGAGTCACATAAATGTTACCAAATATGTTATGAGACAATAATAGGACACCCAAAAGTGGAAAAAGGGACAATTGTAGAGGATGAAGGGAGTAACACTCTTCGATCCAATTATAGTACGTGTTTGCTACTACTACCTCCGACCTCTTTTCATTTAGTCATCTTTAACTTTTTGAATCAATAATGATAAACTGTGGTCAATCATTTTAACTAAAATACTTATGTGAAACTTTTATAAATGCCCCAATCTTATAAAAGTATCTTTAACAAATACATTTTCATTTTAATTTCTATTGTAAAAACTTTTTCATATGAATATGTCGTTTGTCAAGGTTTAGCATTATTAAGTGAAAAAATAAAAGATGAATGATTAAAAAGGGACTACTATTTTGAGAGCAAATTTGCTTTCATTATCTTTATTTTCTACGTAGTATCTAACTTTTATATACTCCGTATTTACTTTTGTTTTTTACAGCTCAATATATTTTTAATGTTACTCAACTTTAAGTAAATGTGTGCCAATGTCAATTTTAAATATTACTTACACCCAAATTTCCCCATCCCAAAAAGAGACATTCGAATAGAGACGGAGCAACCGGCCACGTAGTAATTCTTAGTAAATAATAATTGTATCTTTAGTTATTGACTTCATAGTAAATAATAATTGTATTTGTGTCAAACGCGTTATCTTTCATAATTGATCATATATAGGGTAGACTTAAGTAAAGGAATTGACATTAGATGGTATATGTGTGTGTTTTGCTGGTATAAGTCAACCTGTATTAGCTTTGAATAATTTAAGAGATTTAAAAGTTTTAGTTGTATTTTGTTACATGGACTATGCATGGAGTAGCTTCTACAACAGCTTATTGAATTGTAAACACTAATAAGTCATAATAACTTTAGATCAATTATGATTACTAAAAGTAAAACATTGAAGGACTATTATACTATCCCCGTCTCTTTTTAATCGTAACATGTTGAATTTTACACTATTCACATGTTCTACTTTGACTACATTTTATATTATTATTTTATGAAATTTTTTTTTTTTTTTTAAAATTATATTGTTCAATTTATCTCATTACAAATTTTCAAAATCTAATTTTTAAATATGTTTTACTAATGGGGCCGGGATTAAGATATAATTACGGTCAAAGATGTGCGTTGACAAGTGTGAAATGTTGACTGTTGCAACTAAAAAAGAACGGATGAAGTACTATTTAAAGGTGTATTTTTACACCTAGTTGTATCAAATGGTATATTCATTCCGTCTCACTATAATTGTCTCATTTTTTCTTTTCCATCTGTCCCACTAAATTTATCTCATACGAAGTATCATATTTGGTAATATCTGTGTGCTTCTAATTCATTCTTACTTTATTATCACTTTAACATTTCATTATTAACCACATAACTCTATGTTTCTTAAAAATTACACCACTCTCATTTGTTCCAATTTTAGCTAGGGGGACGGAGGTACTACTATACAAACTATGTGACTTTTGTTAATACACTCTATATTTATTATTAATATTATTGTTAGGAATCAATCAATTTAAAATTGTAATGTGACTTTTGTCGTACTTATAGAGCTAAAATACGAGTACCGTCTTGACACGGACGCATCTATGTATGTATACTAAGATTAATTCTCAAAACACAATTTTGTGATCGTGTTTGGGAGTTCGTTTAAAACCATTCCAAACACCACTTATATGTTGCTGTGTTTGGAAGGTGACATTGGCGTTGAAGTTTTATATTAATCCGAAAGGTTTTTACAATGTTGTTCAAAGATGGATTGTGGAGACTTAATTAATTAGTTTAATGTAAGGGAAAAATTTAAAATATGACTAGCGAAATTAAGCATGTCTATTTATCAATAATAATAAAATTTAGAAGAGAAAAAGTAGCATCGAAACGCATATAACTTCCCATACGTGCGCGCCTTGAGAAACTTCCCAGGAGGTCACCCATCCCAAGACTACTCCCGGCAAGCACGCAAATAACTTGAAGTTCTTAGGAGATGAGATCCCTTAAAAGGAGACGCATCTTGTTGGTATGAGTAGTACAAATAACACTCCCTTAAAAGGAGACGCTATTAATCCTTTTAAATTAATCTCAAGTGTTACAAATACCACATGAGGAATAAGATGTCAGATAACGGCCCACGGTAACCTCAACCTTGTTGGATTGGCATATTGCGGATCAGGGGTCGAGCTGAAGGGGAAAGATATCCCTATTAGCTCAGCGGCAACCACCTTCTCAGAGGGCCACATCCAGGGTGACCTAGAGGTCCCTCTTCTCTTGAGCGGCTGCAACAAGCTTCTGCTGTGCGGCTCACTTGGACTCCTTAACGGCCTTCTCGGCTTCATTCTGAGCCTAAAGGGCATCTAAGTCTCGAGAAGCCTCAGCCTGGAGTACATACAAGTCGGTCTGCAGGAAAATCACGAAACATGACAATAAGAAGCTTTGGGGGACGGACGTGAGGAATTACCTTGAAGCGGGTTAGCAAGGCACCTTCCACGGCTTCAGGGGACGGACGTGGCATTAGCTCCACGCCCGAGCGGCATACGAAGTCCCTCCACGCGTCAACGGCGGGACAGCCGAACGAGGGCAAACCAACCCCATGGGTTGGAGCGGCAGCCATTTCAGATCGGGTTCGTTTGGAGGCCTTCTCCTTCATGGACCCGGCATGGTGGCCAATGGCCACCTTAATGGGCGACACCTCTAGGATGACTCCAGTATCCGTGCTAGGACCGTCGTCGTGGACCTCAGGTGCAACCGAAGGAACCAGGGCAACACTAGTATCAGCTCGAAGAGCGGCGTGCGAGGTCTCAGAAGTGGCTTAAGAAGACTGAGCAGATCAGTCAGCATCATTTTGCCTGGACGCTCGGGCCTTGGTGTCCTTAATAGCCCATTCAAGCTTCATCGCGTCGTTATCCATTTGCTTATTGGGGGGGGGGGGGGGGCTGAAATAGAAAAAAGTCAAAAAACCAATTATCAGAATCGGGCGGTGTGAACCCTACGGGAGCTCACCTTGTAGAAATATAACCACACAGGGTTTAAATGTGGCTTGAAGGAGAACGTTCTAGAGACACAGACGGTACATATCGCTGCATCAGCAAGCGCCTGAAACGTGATGTAGAACATCAAATGATCAGATCCCCCTCCTTCACTGCATTGATGCCTTTTCCCATCTCCTCGGTGACACGCGAAGGTTATATCTTGGTTGGGTACCCATTCCACCGCTCGGATAGCTGGCCCTTAGGGAACTGGACGAACATGAATCAGTGTTTCCAGTCATGAATAGATTAGGGCCCCCCATGGAACAGCTCTCGATCAGGTCGGTTGCTGATGTTCAGAAATCTGTCAGAATTCTATGGAGAGAGTTTGAAGAAATAGTGGAAGAGGTCTAGGCTTAGATCCACCTTCCTGGTAGTGCACCGGACGATGAAGGCAAAGACGAAGCGGAGGGAATTACGCATGAATTGAGCGGGGATGACCTGAGAACAACGGAATACCTTGAGGTAGAATGGATGCATTGGGAACCGTAACCCGACTTTAATTGAGTCCAAATGGACCATGATCATTTCAGGGCGCCTCCTCATAGGTTGGGTCGTGCCGTGCTGGCTATAAACGACAGGCAGTTATAAATACACCGGATGTTCGCCCAGCATCTGCTCGGAGAAGAACTGGTCGCAGCCATGGGCATTCCACAGCGGTACTTCACACTACAACAAAAATCATTTATAGAGGCAATACTTTGGGGCAATTTGCCTCTAAAAGACCTTTTTAGCATCACATAAATCTTGGTTGCCTCTAATCTTGTAAGCTCTCAATACATTTGAGGCAACCACAATTCTATTGTCTCTAAAAGGTATCATTTGAAACATCATTGTTATGGTTGCCTCTAAAAACTTGTTGCAAAAGTGTAGTTGCCCCTAAAAGATATTATTTGAATCAACCTTTTCAAAGGTGCGTCTAAAATTTGTTGCAAAAACATAGTCGCCTCTAAAACATTTTCTTCAAAATATCGTATCACTTCAAAACATTTCAATATTAATTCAGGGTAATTAAATTTCATGGTCATTAAAATTGTTTACTCTTAGTTGCATTTCGATCATTCTTGACTCTAGGCTCTTTAACTTCAGAATTTGAGTGATCTAATCCTCTTAACATTTTTTCCCTTGCATAAGATGTTTTCAATTTCACTATCATCAGTCACAGACCGGATCAGACTAGATCTGATCAGACTGTACTCAAATAGACTAAATTAGATATGATCTGATCTGATCAAACTTAAACAGATCAAACAAGATTTTGACTGTTATAATGTATACATACAACACACATCTACCAAATCAGAATAAACCAATTCAAAACCAAATCAGACTTAAATAAATTAGATAAGACCATATCTAAAATTAGGCAATTAGATAAGACTTAAATAAATTAGATAAAACCAATTAAAAAACATCATAAAAATGACGCGTTCACAAGAAATTTACCGCAAGGCGGCTAATCAACATTCACAAAAAATCTTTCCCGCCCATTAATTAAATCCTTTAATTAAACATGCCGCCTTCCGTTTTTGCCAATCACAAATCTTTTTATCCACCCTTTAATTTTTTTTAATCAAACATCCAGGCATCCTTTCAAATAAAACAAAACCCTACCCCTTTTCCCATCCTGATCCATCCAGGCATCCATGGGCTACCAGAGATCGGAAGCCGCGGAAGGGAGTCACGCCAATAAGGAATCGGAGACAATTTTACCGCAAGATTGGTTGACTCGGTCTAATGTTCTCATTCAAGATTTATCTTCCCTGTGCGATTTCATCTCCTACATAGGCTTCGTAAAAAGTTAGTATTCATCACTCATAAATTCATTGGAGCTCTAGTTTTGAATGCTTATCTAAAATCTATTCATGGAAATCGAGAGATATATCATTTGATTTCGAGGCTATCTGCTTTAACATGGTGATTTGTATTGTCTTGGTTGACTCTCCTGAAGCTACAAGCGTTTTATCCGGCTATGAGATGGTGGCTGTGAAGGGGCCGAGTGCGGTATCGGTGGACTGTGACTCTGTGAGGTTCGTGGGCAGCAGCGGTCCTTGTAGTGTTGGGCTAATTAAGTTGCTTCTCTTGCTTGTCTTTGTTGGGGTTTTGGGTGCCGTTTTCGTGTACAATGGAATCATCCCCATAATAAATTTGAAGATAAAAACGTTCAGCACACCACTTGTAGCAGTTTTACATTTTTCTGCAGTAGCAGTTTTTTCATCTTTGCTTTTGCCATCTACACCCTCCATGTGGGCTGCAGGGCTGAAGGGCTACAGGGCTGACTTGGATATGGGTATGAATTTCTGCTAATTTATAGTAGGAGGTGTAACTATTGGGTAGTTATTGGTTATAGCTAGTTTAGCCGGTTCCAAATTTTTTATGTCTGTAGCTTGTTGTTCTTTCTATTTTTTGGGATTCTTTTTGCTTAAGTAGTCATCTAGACTGCATCTGTAAATCCGAAGTTATGAACTTATTCTCTTTTACTGATAACTATCTTAGATACTTATTGAGTTTATGAAGAAACTAATTAAGGCAACTAGGAAATTGAATAAATACTTGTTCTTAAGAGTCTGGCAGGAGATAAATGTTCCCCGACATTTATCACACCTAACAAGGTGGTTCTCGGGACTAAAAAAAAGAGTCTGGCAGGAGAAGATGATACATGTTTTTCATCCTTTTTGCAGATGGCTAAAGAGTTCTAATTATACGTACATTGTTTTGTATTTATATCTGGTAAGGTAATTAAACTTCTACTCTAACTTTATTTTATTTACTTTGTTGTTGTTGTTTTAGTGAAAGTTTGCTATGTACGTGCATTATTTTATGGAGTACCTATTTTCTTTTGATTGTTTGTGGAAATTTATATTGAACATTTGTTTTCCTAAATAATTGAATTGCAAACTTCTTTTCTCACCTAGATTAACAATAAAATTGTGAAAGTTTATATAGTTTTTTTTTTGCAGATTCTGACTAACGGGACACAAATAACTCTTAGAGTAGGGCATGACTGGACTGTGGAAGATGGTAAGTCCTAGAGCCTCTCAAATTCTACATATGAAGATATTGGAAAGGATATCCCAATATATTGGCCACTTATCTTTGTTGTTACTAGTTTTTTTATTAATTGCTTATAATGTGTGGTCTTCTAAATTTTTTTAATGGATGCTAATTAGCTGAATTTTGAGTAGACATTTTTCTTTAATATCATGCTTTTATATACACATTGCAGACTAATTTATCATAATGAAATTTAATCTAGAGTTTGGTGGACCCGATGTCTCCTCTTTCTTTGTGACTTTTTAGGCTTTCTATAGTTTTTTGTTAGTCTCACCAAATTCCCCTTGAAGCTTCAATTTTACAGCTCTATTATTGGCACTAATGATTTGAGGCTTATATATGCTTTGGTTTTCTTTGCTGCACTATTCTTTATATACTCTTTAAGAACAGAGAGTTCACAATCAAATTGGGCTTATTCTTTGAGTAGTATTAATGATTTTCGTAGAAGTTGATCTTTTGAGTCTTATATCTTTTGACACATATTTGATATATTTAAATTTGAGTAGTACTGATAAGATGGATATATATTTGGCGTCATCACTTAAGAGTTAAGTCTAAACACTAAAACCTTATACATAAACTTTTGGTGTACAAAACTATCAAAGACAACTTTTAGTAAAAAAATAGTTTATGGTTTTAAAATATTTGTATTTAGTGAACCTTGGACCCCAATAGCCATGTTTTGCCACAGTATAGGTAACAACGGTTGTAGGAGCAAATGGATAATATTAGACTTAGTACAGAAGTATATCATGGTTTTAAATTGATTTTGTTTAGTGAATAAGGGAATTCTAGGCCAACTACTACAAAATGTATGTCTATGTGCTGTTATTTCACTTGTTTTTCGTTTAGTTGATCATGATGTAGAATTAATAAGATTAATTTAATTACTTCTTATTCATATTATTTTGGTAGTTATGAACTATTAATTTGTTGTTTATAATATGTCAAGCAGATGAAGATGAAGGTGATTGGGCAAACAGAAGATAAAGACTTATTTGAAGTGCATTGGTCATTGGCTTTTATTTGTATATATTAATTTGTAATGTTTAGTAAGAGAGAAATTAGCATTTAGAATTGTTCAATGACTGGAATATGTAGATTAGCTCTAAAAACTTAACTATGTAATTTATGCAATTTTGTTAGTGAATGTTTAAACTCTGTTTGAATTGGAGTTATACAATATACATTCAACTTTCTTATTTACCATCAAATCACATTGTTGAACCCAATATGTGATTGGCTCTATAAAAGCTTTCCTGATAAAAATGAGTTTCAACTAAAAACTATTAGTGGCACCATATCACATTGCGTCCAATTGATTTTTGGGTCAATATATTGTTGTTGCCTCTAATTGTAATCAGGGATAGTGAAAATCGGTTGTCTCTAATGACATTTTGAGATGGATATGTTGGTTGTCTCTAATAATATTTTGAGACGAGTTATTATGGTTGACTCTAATATGTACCTTTTTGCATCACATCTTTGGTTGCCTCTAAATGTGGTTTTAGAGGCAACCATGATTTAGGGACGGATTATTTAGAGACACCTTTGGGGCAACCAATAAATTGCCCCTAAAACCCATTAGAGGCTACATTTATATTTTTAGAGGCAATTATGCCTTGCCTCTATATATCTATTTTATTGTAGTGTTCATGGCACGACACATCATGATGGTCGCCCTTATCATAGATATCCAGATCGTCCCTGGAATATGCCTCGTTCCCGGAATCATAATCTTCTGGTCGAGCCTCGGCGACATCTCCTTAGGCATCGTCGTGAGGGGAGGCACCTTCAGGTATGTCGGCCTCATCCCCATTCTCTCGATCCGTGGCGGTCGAGTCACTGCTGCTTGACGTACTGGCCCCCCGAAGAGTGAGAGTCTGAATCAGATTCAAAGGAGAGGTGAGAATTCAAGAGGTGCTCCAAAGGATCCGACATCGAAATACCAGAAAACAGTGATGAGAAAGTAAAGGGGTAGAGTTACCTAAATCACGAAGAACCGAGGGAGCCGGTGGCCAGAGATCCTGAGCAGAGGTTCATCTGAGCACTTAAGAAGAAGATGGGCGAGAATTCAGAAACCCTAAGCCATCCGTTTAAACTGGTATTTATAGAGGTCTCCACCACCCGACGATCCAATGGTGGTGCGACATGTGGCGAGGGGCGTACCCTAGGACACGTGTTGCTCGGAGGTCAACAGGCATGTTGATAAGTATGAAGTTTTGCTGATTATTAACCTTGCATGAGCAAAGGATAGAACTATCCTAAGGTCTATACAGGCATTTGTACTTTATTGATGACTAACCATGCGGGTGGACCAATGGATAGAACTACTATCAGTTCTGTCAAGAACATAAATTAGAACTTTACTCAGTTCTGAGTAGTTGTCGAGCATAATAAATAGATGAATTAATATGTGATGAATTAATATGTGATTGCATGATCTACGTACCTAGATTGAGATGCATGTCCTAAATGTACGTGGCGTGGCACTATTTGAATATCTTTCTATGCATGACTGGACACCCACCTAAATAAAGTTAACCTTTATAGCTTAATAATTTATGAAAAGAATCTTGGCTTGATTAGCAAGATTGACCGTAGCACACTTATCTATGGTAAGTGAATACTTTGCTATCTATATAAAGGTTGACTCTAACATCTTTGGGTGAAATAAAATGAATATCTTAAAGTATTTTGGTTTACTAAATCAATGATTGCATGTCTCATGATTTGATTGACCATAGCTCTTATTAAATGAATATTCTATTGCCATATAAGGTTGGAGCGTTGCTACATAATTACCTATGGACCGTTACATGTTTATATATGATACGAAAATATATTCCTTCCTTCTGTACGATGGCATGCTATTAAACTGATTGGCTTATGCATTGAGCTCGAATAAGAAGGATCCACATAGAAGGTAGGTGTTTCAAATAATATCAAGGCAAGTCCTATGATTGGCTACTCGACTATCTAAGGAAAGAAAGTATCAACGGACTTCTCCAAGCAGCCTATATATACCGAGATCATGAAAGCATAATGTGTGCTTGATCGAGCTATTATTGAGAAAAATTCATCAAATAACTACAAAGTCCAAGGCACTTGAACTTGCTCACAAGAGTTCTAGATGTAGTTTTTTTCCCTTCTTCATATTGTAATCGGGTTTTGAGGATTAGCTAAGTGTAGCATCCTCGGGTAGGTTAGTGTGTTGTGAGAGCTTTGTTGTAAAGTTGAGAGGCTCTCTACCCGCAAGGTAGAGAAGCATAACTCTTCCTAGAGAGGATAGAGTTGGGGTGGCTCAAGGATAGACTAGGAGAGTTTATCTTGTAATCACAAAGGCTTATTAGTGAAGTTGTTAAAATTCCTCCGAGGAGGTCGAAGTTTTTAATCCCTTTTAGCCAAGGGATTTTTCCTCAACTCGTTAAATACTTGTGCACTTTATTATTTCGCTTCACCCTATGCCCCACACTAGAACTTGGCGAAAAAATGTCATGGTTCCGCACACACAATTCACCCCCCTTGTGTTGCTAACCTTGGGAAGAAATCTGGCAGAATGAATACGGTTGTACCACTGCAAGAAGGGTAATCAACTTAACGTCCACCATTGTTCAATGGCAAATATTATCAGTTCTGGAAGAGTCGAATGGAGAACTTTGTCAAAGCCAAACACTATCAGGTATGGAACGTAATTGAAGAGGGTGACAATGTCATCACTAAGGTAGACGTTGAAGGTAAGGTTGTCCCTAAAAAAAATGTGAATATACTACTGATGAATATAGAAAACTCGAGCATAATGCCCAAACACTAAAATATTTGATTTGTGGACTTGGTCCTGTTGAACACAACCGTGTTCTAGGATGCAAGTCTGCAAAACAAATGTTGGATTTGCTCGAGGTTACTCATGAAGGTACCTCACGTGTAAAAAAAGATCCAAAACTGACATCTTTATGCGGGATTACGAATTATTCGTGATGAAGCCTAAAGAGTCAATTAGGGATATGATTACACGTTTTAGTAATATCATAAATGCGCTTTCAGCTCTTGGAAAGGATATCTCTGTTAAAGATTAGGTAAGGAAAGTCATGAGAAGCTTGCCATCTTCATGGAAGCAAAAACTACAGCGATTGAAGAAGCAAAAAATCTGGCCACCATGACTCTCGAAGATTTGACTGGTTCACTCATGACATATGAGCTAGGTCTACAAGAAGAACAAGATGCTGAAAATGTGAGGCGAGAAAGAGGAAAAGCTCTTAATGCTCGAGATGAAGAGAAGGAATCTGAAAGTGATTCAGAAGATGAGATGAGCATGTTTGTTAAAAAGTTTGGGAAGATGTACTCGCAATTCAAAAGCAACATGAACAAACAAGGTACAAAAGAACTCTCAATCTTTTAATAACCAAAGCTGTTTTGTTTGTGGTCCTTTGAGCACAGGGCAAAGGACTGTCCACAAAAGAAGAAAGACAGAGCCTATGATAAGAACAAGTGAAGTTCCAACCAGAGTTTCAATGAAGACAAAAGATTCAATAGAGATCTCAAAAAGGCAATGATGGCAGCATGGGGAGATTCATCTGATGATGATGAAGAGGAGAGTGACAATAGCTCTAATCATGCGGGTCTATGTCTTATGGCTAATTCTGATGAGTAATCTGACCAAGAGAATTTTGAGGTAAATTTAGAAAACTTTCTATCTAAGTTTGATTCTCTCTCGAAAGCCAAAGTTCGTTTTTTTTAAAAGATTGACTATCGAGCTTAATGAAAATCTTTCTGGAAATGACCATCTCAAATCACAAATCACTAAACTTGAGTCTAAACTCGATGAAGCCACTAGAGCCAAGATAAAGCTTGAAACTATAGTGGTAGAGTTAATAGATGAAAGGCTTAAGTACAGTGAAGTGGTTTTAAAAGAAGATAATCTCATTTGCTCACTAAAGCTAGATAGCATGAATAAACAAAAGTTAATGATGAAGAAAAGCTTCTTAAAAAAAATTCCAACATTGCTTTGCTAATTAATCATCTTAATCGCCTAGAGGCCGAGAGACAAGATTTTAAAAATAAACCGGAATATCAACCGTACAGTACCAAGAATAGAACCGGGTCTAGACATTATTCTAGAACTGGACCCTCTCGGTACGATAAAAAGGAAAATGAGACTGCAGGTCTCGGATACAAAACAATGGACGCTCACTCAAATAAAAAACCGAGTTTTCAGAATTGAACCCTTAACATGAATGAACTAGAGGACAAACCAGTTTTAGGCCATATCAAAACCAATCTAAAACTGTAACAACCTGGTTCGATAGAGGCCTTCAAAAGCACAAAACTGGTTATGGACAAATGCCAAACCAGATATTTTACAAAAGAACTAGGGGTTTTTATTTGAATATTACTAATTTTGAACCAATTACCATAAACGTGAGAACTTTTAAAAAGGGGCAAAAAAGTGATCAAGAAGGTCATATTAATGTCATTCCCTAATTTTAATGTCACTATCCTGTTTTAATGTCACTATCAAATGTCATTGCCGCCACCGCCTGTGTCACTGCCGCCACCGCCCGTGTCACTCCCGCTACCACTCGTGTCACTGTAACCACCGCCCGTGTCACTGTAGCCACCGCCCGTGTCACTGTAGCCACCGCCTATGTCACTGCGGTCACCGCCCGTGTCACTGCGGCCACCGCCCGTGTCACTGCGACCACCGCCTGTGTCACTGCGGCCACCGCCCGTGTCACTAAAGCCGCCGCCTGTGTCACTATAGCCACCGCCTTTGTCACCGTAGCCGCCGCCGCACTGTGGCCCCGCCGCAGGTCACTGCCGACGGCACCGCCCATTACCTCCACCGCACCTTTGCATCTGGGACCACTGCCCAGCCCCACCGGCCACAGCTCCGACAACCGCCCACATGCCCCAGCTTCAATCACTGCCCTACCACCACCCCAGCTCCGTCCATCAGCGGGGGGCCCTACCCCAGCCCCGGGTCCCTTGCCCCTGCTTTCCCAGTCCTCCCACGGCTCCCCATCCCCACCCCCAGCCTACCTACCCCAACGCCCCTTGCCCAGCCCGTACCACCACCTTACCCCAACTCCGCCTAGACGCCGCCATCACTTAACCTCAGCGCCACCCAGCCCACGCCACCATGTGATTCCAGCCCAGCCCTATGCGACCTGCAACAGCCCAACCAATCAGCGCCCTACCTTGCACCA